GAACCTTATGGGCTTTAGGAAGGACCCACCCCACTGTGTGGCTGCAGACAGAACACAAGGTAAGGTCTGGGAACCACAAGATGTGACCGTTTTCAATGACAAACACCCACGGGGCTTCAAGTCAGTGGAAACATGGCCTCACACCAAGTCTCATTGGCCACCAAGGAGCAAAAATCCAACAAAAATCAAATTTTTTTCCCTGCTCCTGATTTTTTCAAAGATGAAAATGATAAGTGGGCTCTTAGTAGAATATATAGATGGTATCTCTTAGACTGAATTTGGAAAGAATTTCTTAACTAAGACCTCAAAAGTGACAACTACAAAAGAACGAAAAGGTGAACAAATGTTTACAAAATACAACAAGAGATTAGTATGAAGCACATACGAAGAACTCCTACAAATCAGTGAGAATAACACAAGAAATACAAAGGGAAATGGACAAATCACGGCCGATAAATATCTAAAAGGTATTCAGCCTCAATAGTTATAAGGGAATTGACTGCAATGACCCTGCCCATTCAGTCGCCAGAATTAAGAAGTTTGACCATACCAGGTGTTACAGAGGATGTGGCTCTACAAGATCTCTCATGCACTGATTGTGGGAGTGCAAATTGGTGCAACTTCATGGAAAACACGTGAGTAATAACTCTTAAAATTGCACAGTCACATGCCCTACAATCTAGGGATTCCACTCCTAAGTATAGGCTTGGCAGAAACCCTTGCTCATGGGCACCAGTTAACATGTAAACTGAAGTTTTTAGCAGCCCTATTCACATAACCTGGACACAGGTAAGTTCCCACGGAGAGGAAAGTGCACACTATGCTATAGAATATTCTCATTGTAGAATAGTAAATGCAAGGGTCAAAATGAATGAACCACATAACGAGCAGCCAGATGAATGAATCTTAGCATCTGTTAGTTGGAAAGAATAAGTCTCAAAGATTACATATCCTTTTTATAAAGCTAAAGCCCGACTAAAACAAATATTTATATTATGTGTATGTCTATGTATGTATATATGTTTATATATGTATATGTATATACGTACACATACACTCTTTAGGAAAACATACAGATGAGATAAAACCACGTAAAAAGGAAAGCAAGGGAGAGGGGAGCGTGCATGGACACAGTACGGTGGTCACCTCGGCAGGGAGCGGGAGAGGGGAGTGGAGGGGGAGCCCACAGGTGGATGCAAGTGATTATCAAGATCTTC